AGAGAGAGAGAGAGAGAGAGAGAGAGAGAGAGAGAGAGAGAGAGAGAGAGAGAGAGAGAGAGAGAGAGAGAGAGAGAGAGAGAGGCGCGGTGGAAAGCAGTGGGGCAAAGTAGGTGTGCGCGCGTGCTGTCCGTGAGCTGGTCGTCGGTTAGGTGCTGGATAGAGCGACCCCGACGAGGTCTCTCGTGGGCGTTCAAGGCAGTGGCTATGGCGATGCCGACGAGGTCTTTCGTGAACGTAGCCGGCGTTTGCCACACGAGTTGGGCGAGTATTGAATCTCGACCGGCCGTCGGAAGTGCCGAGGCGAATCTTCGAGGAAAGATCGCTATAGTGAGGGGGCGCGATCCGTTCTTATCGCGCTCATGTTTAAGTGGTGGTTATGCCGATGCCCACTGCCAAATGGCAATTCAATCCATCATCTCTTCTCCTGCATCTCTTTCTTGTTGCCGTCATGCTTATCGCTTGATTGCCTCTTCGCTCCCGCGAATCGGCGGCTTTGCGGCGGGAAAGGCTTCAAAATCTGTTGTTGATGGATCTCGTGTAGATACCGGCGATCTTTTCGGCCTCTGCAGCCATCGATTACTTCCATCATCGCCATCGCCATCGCCATCATCTTCGTCATCGTCATCATCATCATCATCATCATCATCATCATCATCATCATCATCATCATCGTCATCACTGTGGTCTTCTTCTTGTTGTGGGTCTCTTCCTGGTGCCGCTCGTGCTGCGCCTCTTCGGAGGGGTCACTCGGCGGAAGGACAAGTAGTAATGAGAGCCATGAGGGACATGGTGGCAATTTGCAGGCAGCCATCGCGATCACGACGGTCGCGATCTCGACGAGGTCTTTCGTGGACGTTCAAGACAGCGGCTATGGCGATCCCGATGGGTGCATCGGCTCCAGCAGACAAAGAGAAGGACGGGGTAAAGGGGGGAATGGAGAATGAAGTGAGGAGGGAAGCAAAAAAGCTGAAGCCAGGTGAGGCCCTTGGGCCGGAATATACAGAGGGCAGTAATTTTTATCAGAACGACGATCGGAGGGCAGGCGTGCTTCTGCATCCTACGTCGTTACCCGGTCCGCACGGATCGGGCGATTTCGGACCAGGTGCATTCGCCTTCATCGACTGGCTGAAGTCGACTGGATGCTCAATTTGGCAGATCCTGCCGCTTGTGCCACCAGGGAGGAAGTCCGGAGAGGACGGCTCACCCTATGCCGGGCAGGATGCGAATTGCGGAAATACCCTTCTGATCTCCTTGGAAAAGCTTGTGCAGTACGGACTGCTGGAAGAGTCAGAGCTTCCGCCTCCACTGCCTGTGAAGCGAATTGATTTCGAAGCCTTAGCTGCCCTGAAGGATCCTTTGATCGAGAAGGCCGCTGCTCGGGTATTGTCGAGCGATGGCCCTCTGAGTCTTAAGGACGAGTATGAGGCTTTTCGTGCCAGTCCCAACGTCTCAGGGTGGCTGGAAAATGCAGCATTGTTTGCTGCAATTGACCATGACTATGGTTGGAACACAGAGTTCTGGTGGGACTGGCCCGCGGAGTTCCGGGACCGCCAGCCTGCAGCACTTGATGCCATTCGCAGAAGCAAGAAAGAGTTCATTGATCGGTTCTGCGCTCAGCAGTTTCTCTTCCAGAAGCAGTGGGATGAAGTCCACAAGTATGCCAATGAAGCGGGCATCACTATCATGGGCGATATGCCCATCTACGTTGGGGGACACAGCGCAGATGTGTGGGCCCATCGGTACCTGTTCTCGCTAGATCCGGAGACAGGTGCTCCAGTGTCCGTGAGTGGGGCGCCTCCTGATGCTTTCAGTACGACAGGTCAACGCTGGGGGAGTCCGCTGTATGATTGGTCAGCGATGGCTGAAGACAATTACTCTTGGTGGATTCAAAGGATGCGACGAGGGTTCCAACTCTATGATGAGTACCGCATTGATCATTTCCGGGCTTTTGCTGGGTACTGGAGCATTCCAGCGAAGGACGAGACTGCCATTGGGGGAACGTGGAAGAAGGGTCCAGGGATGGACTTCTTTACTGCTGTAGGGATTGCACTGGGGGGGGGAGTGTCCAAGAAGATAGTGGCAGAGGACTTGGGGGTGATAACTCCCGACGTGGTGGACTTGCGCAAAGACATCGATGCTCCGGGAATGGCAGTCTTGCAATTCGCCTTCGGTAGCGATAGCAGGAACTATCACTTGCCGCACAATCATGAAACCAATCAAGCCGTGTATCCGGGGACCCATGACCACGACACGGTGCTTGGTTGGTACCAGAGCGCGGAGCAATGGGAGAGAGAGAGAGCGGCCCAGTACTTGCACTTCGATGGAAATGATGAAAAGGAGGACAACGTTCCGTGGGCTTTCATTAGAGCTTCTCTTGCTTCAGTCGCACGGATTGTGATTGTTGCAATGCAAGATGTGATGGGCCTCGACAATTCGGCCAGAATGAACATGCCAGGGGTCAAGTCGGGCAATTGGGGGTGGAGAATGGGAGAGAGAGACATCTTCGAGAAAACGCTCTCTCAGGAGGCGAAAATGTTCAGGGACTTGGTGAAGATGTATAATCGCTTACCGCCCAGTCATCCAGCAGCCAAGGAAGAAGAGGGAGAAGCAGCCACAGATAGTACCGAAGAGGAGGAGAGACTAGAGGAAACTTCGGCGGCGGCAGCAGCAGCAGCAGAAGCAGAAGCAGAAGCAGAAGAAGAAGAAGAAGAAGAAGAAGAAGAAGAAGAAGAAGAAGGTCCAGTGCCTATTCTGCAGGGAGATGCCTTGTCAGGTGTAGGTGCATCCGAGAGGAGTGGAACCACTTCAGACTTACAGTGATCATCGTAATTATCTCGACGCGATTGATCTTTGAATCAGAGAATAGGAATCACTGTCAGAATCCCAGCAGAGATCCGCTTCATAGAATAGGAGTCACTCTCAGGATCTCAGCGCCTACCTCCTACCTTCTTCTTCCCCCGAATACAACGTACGGTCGTTATAGCTGTATTTTGACTGAAAGATTGCCCAAATACAGCTATAATGACCGTACATTGTATTCGGGAGAAGAAGGCATCATTGCCCTTGTCAGCAGAGGAATGGGATTTTTTTTTTTTTGTTTGTTTGTTTTTTGTTTTTGTTTGGGGAGGAATGAGATTGTAACTCTGCAGCTCTATCGTCTGATGACGGTAAAAAAAAAAAAGAGAAAGAAAAGGTGTCATGACTTGGTCCTTTTTCGTTTAGTGGTACCATGGAATGTGTTTGCACTACTATGGGCCCATCCGCTAAGATGTTGAATGCCTCAAGACTGCACTACTATGGGCCCATCCACGAAGACGTTCAATGCATCTGGACTGCACTATGGGCCTGTCCGCGAGGATGTTGAATGCATCGGAGTCTGGACGAACTCCAAGTTAAAGAGGTGTTCAAACTGTTGGTGGGTGGCGAGGGTTTCAACTAGGCCCTATTTCTCAACAAGGGCCTCGCTTCACCAGTCACCAAACTCGTTTTTTTTTTTTTTTTTTGACAATAAAGAAAAGACCTGAAAGGCCAGCCTGTCCAGATTC